GACCAAGGGTGTTATGAAATTCAGTGCCTAGCGACACAAAATGTCACCCTCCGATTGTGAATAGCGGTCAAATGGCGCCAAAACCGCTACTAATTGTCCATCTAACTACTTTTTTTTGTTGTTGTTGTTTTTTTTGGGCGTGCTTCAGGTGTTTGTTGGCAACACAGACGAGAATACTACCGTTTATAACGAACTCAATGAACCGATTGTAGCACGCTACACGTTTTCAACCAACAGCTTGGCATAACCACATATCAATGAGGGTGGAACTATATGGCTGCAAAAGGTACTTTTTTGGTAACATCCTTCTTTTGTGGAATTCGGAAAAAATACAAACAAATCCTTGCTTAATTTATCACTTTTGGAAGCCTTAACTACTTTACTGCTAATATTAATATTTACATTTACCGTCATGGCGTTTCGTGACCGCTGAAAAACCTATTGAAGAAACCTTTAATTCTGATACTTTGACTTCGGCGTGACTTCATAGAATGCCCAAGATAGAAAAAGAAGAATTCATGACTCAAGTTGTTCCTATGCATTGTGGAGACCCTTTGGGGAAAACAACAAACAATAACAAACACACAAAAAAAAGTTCAATTCAGACAGTAAGAGATATTTCATATCACAGCTTTGTTATGGAGCGTTGCTCTCAGAAGCGTTGAGTCTCGCTTGCTTGGAGATAAGATAACAAATGAGGAGGCGGTCGTCCTTCTTTCCTAAGGGCCACGCTTGGCGAGCAAAAAGTGAAATTATGCTCTCGACCTACTATGACTTAAAAAGAAAAATAAAGAGACTGCTCACAGTCTAGGAGGCGATTAATTCTGCAAAGAAACAGGATTTAGCGACGACCGGAAGTACGTTGGCGGTGGCAGGCTATACTCGTGTATAAATTACACGAAAATCAGGAGCCTTGATTCGGGGAAAATTACATCATTGCCAAACAGCCGAAAATTAACCGCATGCTCACCAAAAGACTCATTTGCATACAATGAAAGTTTACAACACCCAACATCCTAATCCCCCGGGCTCTTCCCTCAAAAATGGGTGGGGTCGGGAAAAGGCCCTGCATCGGCTGGTCACGTGTCCCCTCGTACACCCTAAAATCCTGGGTGTAATAATTGGCGCTATGTAAAAGCTAAAATTATGCGTAACCTCAAAGCGCGCGATCTTGGGCGACCTTTTATCCTTGACGACTAACGAAAAGTTTTAAAGATTTCCTTTTTTTCACAGATACTGGCTATGGTAATTTTTGCTTTCCTCCGATTTCTATGAAGGGAAAGCGAGTAACATTTGTAAAACTTCCGCTTATAGAGCGGTATAAATGACAAACAAGCTATCGTACATGCATAAAGGTTGTACTGGGAAAAGTCCGCTTTCTCGACTCTTCTGACATTTTATTTCATTTCTTGCGAAGTGGGCCGCCGCACACAGCCTAGTTCTATTCACCTTAACTCTCGGCCATATCATAGCGACACTCGTTGGTTTTAGACTTATCCTGCATGACCCGTATTTTAAAAAATTCGTTGACCTCTGCGATCAAACGACTGACCAACAAAAGAAAGACTTGGGTCCATTTAAAATCGATGAGAGCTCTAGTTGATTCCAATCGATCAATCAATCTTCCCTTTAATATGAGGAAAATCCTTTGTACTTATCCTCGAAAGAGAAAATATAAAGAGGTCTTCAAATGTTTCAGACAGGCGACCTGTTATCGTCCCTGGCAGGAGGGCTGACTTGCATCCGGCGCGGAGATTTGTTTGTTTCATGGTCCGGTTGTAGACAAGACCAGACTCCATAAAGCATTTTGATGAACAATTTTATTTCAATTAAGTTCAACTTTTTAAACTCACTGCAGATCCGGAGGCAAAGGCCCACATTTTTTGTTTTGACATTGGACAAAATCACTTTCCGCTTGATCGTACAGTAATTCCACAGTCACGATGAAGTTCAGATGAAGTACTAGTTGATAACAGCTTGTCTCAACTCTGAAGCATCTTGCATATTTTGTACGTGACAACGTTTAGCCGGTACGCCCTTTCATAAACTTCTAGCATTTGAATAATGCGCAGTTAAATGGATCTTAAGCTTTTGAATCGCACACACGCGAAAAATTGACATTTGACAAAGAAAAAAATTGACACAGTTCGTGATGTTATTATTTTCCATTGTTACTCCCTTCTGCCAGTGCAAAACTAGTGGGTTGCATATAAATTAGCTTCTCAGGAATATTTAGGCTGTACACGTGACCAGCCGATGCCAGGGGCCTTTTCCGCCCACCCATTTTTTGAGAGAAAAAGCCCTGGGGACGAGGTTGAACACCCAAACCAGTTAGCCTCACCATCAAAGTTTTGCTAATTAATTTTTATTTTTTCGACCATTGAAGTGTTCACTTTTTCTAAAGTAATCAACGCTTTCAAGAAATAGAATTCGTGGACCTACTCGTTCCGGAAAAGCTCTAAGCCGCATTAATCTTTCCTAAGCTTTTCTTCGCAAAACATGCATGGCTTCGGTTACACAACCGTTCTTATTTCCAGTTTCCAAGGTTTCCGCTAGGAACGCCTGGGAACATGATCTCCCTTTGTGTCCTGAATACGAAGGAAAAAACGGCTTGCACATCTTATGAGTCTCGCTGCTTGCGCAAGCGAGACTAAAAAAGCGTGCTGCACGTGCAAAGCTGTTGTCCTGCCAATAAGAAATGGTAAACGTGCAGCGTGCAACCGGCGGAGTTATGGAGGCACGCGGGAGGTTGCTAAGCACGAAAAGAAGCGTAAGAGTCGCACGAGGCGATAGCCGAGTGCGACTCTAGCTTCTTGAGCTAGCAAACCTCCCAAGTGCATCCATAACTCCATGGTTGCACACCTGCAACATTTACCATTTCTTTTATAACATAATCAAAAGAGAAAAACATTATTTTCCATTTGCCTTCGGTTGAGTCATCGGTCCGCGTTGATGTATGCTGTCGTCTACCCGCGCGTAAACAAATCTTGTTCTACGTTTTTCAAAAACTTGCCTTTGAGTTTTTCTTTCGCTGAATCAACCGTTCTCCGTCTTCAGGTAAATTTCAAAACGTTTTGTGTTGTTATTCTCTTGGCATCTGTTTACTTGCTATTAATATTAGGGTAAAAACTTTGAGGGAAAACTACAGCTACAACTATAAACACCAGCTAAAGCGACTCTAAAAAATAAACTAAAACTAAATAAATGACATAGTTATCAAGCTTATTTATGTGACAATTTTTGAAATAAACGTAAAGTAGAAATGAGAAAATTTGACTGTAATTCCTTTAGAATAACAACTAACATCAATTTTAAAAAAGAAATTAACTGGCTTTGTATCGAAATATCTGGGGAAATCCAGCTATGAAAGTCAAAGTTGCATCCGTGAAATTCGCCGACAAACAGCCGGCGCTGAAGTTGTTGTTTTTCGACCGTTCTCTGAACGACTGTTATGAATGGACACTGAGGAACAAAATAATACACACAGAAGTTAGTTTTTGAAAAAAAATTATTTGAAAACCCAAATGTTTCTTTACTCAAATGAAATTCGCTTATTCCAGCTTAATGTGCCCTTTTAATAAACTCAACTAAAATTTTTAATCGATGCGATGAAAACTTCACAACAAAGCTGTCTCGAATTTGAGCTTGTTTCCTAAAATATTTGCTTGAATTTAGCATCAGCTTGACCAAAAAGTCAATAACACAACGCTAATTGATAAATTTACATTTCAAACAGACTTTCTCTTCTATAAAAACACAAAACGTACCTTAAATCTTCGCTCGCTCGATTTTCCCTCAGCCGATTCTAGCCGCGAGGAAAAAAGTGCTGCTGCTTAATTCATCCAGGGCAAATTTGTCGCTTGATCTTTTGTCTTTTTTACTTCAAAACGACAGCTAAGTATTTTCTTTAACTTCCACTTTTCATCTGTGCATTTCATCGGTGTATTTTACCGTCAGGAGAGGAGATTTGTTGAATTTGCTCAAATTTTACCGCGCCAGCTCAGTTTCTTGGCGTGCACCCTCTTGCAAATGGTAGTGGCTAACTGACCAATCAGAGCGCGCGATTTACTTTTGTTATGTTATAAAATCCTTTTGCTTCTTTGCCCCACTCGTTGCTTTTTTTGCGTAACCGAGAAAAGTCAGCCATTGTTCTTGTTGTTGTAATTATTCCGTTTTATGCTCCCCGAAGCATTAAGAGGAATAATGAAAAAAAATGATAATTATAATAAAAGATTACACGCGATTCTACGTATTCGTATCCCAGAATAAGGTTGATCGAAGAATCCTAAACAGGTACCCTAAACCTTCCACTCCTTACTCAATGTACAGTAAATTGTACTTACATCTTCAATAAAAACGTCATTCGTAGGATGTTAAACATGTTGAATTTACATTTACTGTGGCGTTTCGTGACCACTGGGCCTTAAAAACTGGTTTCTTGTGTGTAAAGAATTGCGTACCTTCTTGATAAGTCGGCCAAGTAAATTGCTTGTTAAGGCCTTGGGTGAAGCTGTTCCTGTTAACACTATTCCGAGCTGGCGGCCCAGCCAATATAATCTCCCCCTTAAAATCGCCAGCACAAGTAGTATGAATATAACAACGTGAATTCTTTAGGTCTGATTCATTATATTTCCTATTGAAAAAACCTTTAAGCTTGATACTTTGGCTTCGGCGTGACTTCATAGAACTGGCCCAAGATAGAAAATAAGGAATTAATGACACACGTCGTTCCTATGCATTGTGGGGATTCTTTGGGAAAACAATAAATAACAAACAAGCAAAAACAAAGTTCAAACGAACTAAGAATTATTTCATCTCAAAGCTTTGCTGTTGAGCGTATACATGCCTTTTTTCGGTCTCAGTTAAAGAGTCCTAAGTTTTCGTAAAATGCTTATGGTTCTAAACATTATAAACGGAAACGGAAGACCGAAGTATAATGAAATCAGAGTAGCTTATTATTACAGGTTTGTTTGATATCGCCATATATTTTTACTGTTGGAATGAACTTGTACGTTTTGTTAGGAAAACCCGTATACCGCCGCTGGTTTCTAGATGGCAGTGATCCAGATGTGAGGTTAGTGGGGTTATATGTCTCTAGTTTGTTCAATGTTGGGGGCGAGACGAGGGGGGGGGTTGGGGGGTGGGGGGTGGAGGCTTGGCTTTTTATGCCTTACCCCTACTTTCGTATCTCAAAAGATTTTATACGACAACGACCTCCCCTTCTTAGTTCTCTCTTACTCTTAAATAAATTTTCAGATTAACCATTGTCTCTTTCATGATGACATCCAGGTTTCAGCATCGCCACAAAACTTATGCATTTGCATTTCTGACTGCTGTAGGTGGCATTACACTCATAGCGTTGACTGGTTAATTTTTGTCTCATAACTTAGGATTCGAGGGTAAAATAGTGCCTTGCATGTTCCTATGACAGGTAATTCTTTTATTCACAGCTAGATTCTATTCATTGGTTTTTGTTATCTTACAGGTATTTTGGTACCGTTAACCATACTGAAGGCTGGTGTCCCGGAAGCAAAGCGGCCACTTTCAGTCAGAATGGTTCCTATGCTACTGTTCCCAACGTTAACATAACAACCTGTGACTTTACAATTGCTTTTTGGGTAAAGTATATTGGTGTTCACGGGCCTATAATGGAGCTTTGGTCAAAGGGTGGAAAACTATTTTACGTTACAGTCAAGAATTCTACACCCATTTTATCGATACACAACACTTTCCACTTACAAATCAATTACTGGAATCACGTAGCAGTAACCTGTCAGCTGCATAAGATCAAGGTGTTCGTTAATGGTACCGAGGAGGCACTGATAGACCAATGGAATGAGTATTTCTTCTCATCGTTAGGCCGTTATCAGCCAGAGTACATCATAGGGAATGATCCGGGTTTAGTCCGGATGCCAATGGCAAATGGGGTGTTTGTTGGAGCAATCATGGATCTTTACGTGACTGGAAAAGCTTTATCCGTGAAGCAGATTGGTGACTTAATCAAAGGCAAGAGTAGTATCTAAAAAAATGCACTTAATTATTTGAGTGTTGATATATTTAGTACGAAAGTACTAATTGGGGACACCATTTTTATTTTGCCATTTGCCGACGTTACGACGTCGGACATCGAGGAGGCAGCACCAGAGAAATCACTTACTGACTTGAGTGACAATGAGATTGAAATTGAAATTGAAATTGAATAAGTACTAATAAGAGACTTCCCCTGAGAAGGAGTTTTCTTCAGAGTATTTTACAGAAACCTTGCTTTGTTACATCTTCGCGTTTTATTATTGCCATTTATTGTTTTGTTCCAAAATAAACATACTAAACTTGCTGAAAATGGTGAAAATTTAGTAAGCGCCTAGCTTCGAGTAAACGCCCTCCTCGAATAAGCGCCCACTGTCAAGTTTCAAAAATTAATTACAGGCAAATTTAAGTAACAAAATCAATTTTTTGTGTGCTTATTGTCACATTCATGGGACCTCGGTCTCGCAGGAATTAACCAAGAACTCTTTTTAAAGGACTCAACGCATGCGCATAATTATCTCGGTTACTTAAGATGGCGTCGGTGAGCTGGTTGTTAATTGTTCGAGTTTAATAAGTTGTTAGATAGTTTTGTAGGTTTCGTAGTGTACCTTTTTACATTCATCTATCACTGCAAAAAAATCGGTGGAAATCACTAAATAATCATAGTATTATTCTCATTATTTAAAGGCAAACCAATTACACCCGTGATAAACAACAAAGAGTCGGAAATACATGGTTGTAAAGTCAATGTAACGTGGAGTAGAAAAGAACTATGCACCATAACGACGAGCACTGTACGGTATAGGGAGATAAAGCCACTAGGCAATGAAGCTGAATGGGGAGAATTAACGGTTCCTGCTACCACCTTTCGTCTTTTAACTCTGGAATGCGACAAGGGGTATGAAATTGGAGTGTCTTCCTGGTTTGGAGAAGTTCAAAGCGACTGGTCAGTTTCTTGGAAATTTAAAACCCACTCTGAAGGTGCGACATTACCTTATGTATGTCCAATAGCTGACAGGGATTTGGTATAGACACTAAACCATAATCACTCAAACGTCTGCGAACGCCCATAAACTGTACACTTCTAGAGAAGCTGGCACCCGCTTCTGCCCCCTCAGAAGCAAGCCACGTAGACAGTAAAACAAACGACGACGGAATTTACCACATGAAAGTCTTTAGATGTTTCAAGAACAGCAACAAAAATGAACAGATAAGCCTCCGCTTATGGGAAGCTAATCTGTAATTTTCATACTTTTAGCGATCGTTCTCCTTCAAATAGCCTGTCATGACGTTTTATGTTTACATTTTTCATGGCCATCTCGATCGTTCAACGATCGTTCTGTTTTCAAAGATATTACAGAGATGACGTCAATGCAATAATTCACATTGTTGACAGGAGAAATTATTGTTTTTTGGTTCATTTTGTTACGTTTTGTTTCGTTTTGTTTTTTTTGTTTATTTTTTCCTTTGTAGAGGAAATTCTAAAGAAAGATTTGACGGACGAAAATTGTCATATGATTATCATTTGCCTTTTTCCTGGAAAAATAACTTAATTTGGAAAGTTCTGGAAGCTGCTCAAAATTGGAGGATATGGTGACTGAGAAATAGCTTCTTTGATTTAATTTCCTCGTGTAAGGAAATACGTCTTTCATCTGCTCCAGTAAACCTTTTCATGAGGAGAGCCCCGGAACTTCAGCAGCTACGACGGCGACAGCGGCGAAAACGTCACTTAAAAACCGAACTCACGCTTTTTCAAACTTTATCGCTCTTACTTCGGGTCCATTTCGTTTAAGTTGCGAAATGTTGGCCGATATTCATAAGGGTTAAATTCTAAAGAATTGTATATCCGTTTGGAAAAGAAAATCGCTCTCATGTGTTCAAATCCTCCATAAACGTAAAACTTGACAGTCTCACGCCGTGGTCGTATAATGACGGCGAAGAACCGGAACGTTACTAAAACGGGGAAAGGGGAGCAGAGAACGAGAGCAAGGGGAACGGGAAAATGAAAAGTGGGGAACAAACAGAGAATTGGAAATGAATTTACCGAGTGGGCTAGGGTTGAAGTTAGGTTTTGTTCCCATTTTTCATTTTCCTGTTCCCGTGGTCGTTCACTGTTTTAGTAACATTCCGGAGTTGTATAATCAAAGAAAGACTATCGTCAACTCGTGGATACGTTGTTTAGAAAATAATCAATTAGTTATCACCTCTGGTTTTCCCACAGTGAATTTTAGGAAATGATAGAAATTCATATTATAAATATACTATCCTTGTTCTGGAAACACAATACTTTTCTTGCTGTTTATTGCACTTTAGTAACAGTTATTTAAGTATATATTTAAAAACAAAACAAAAAAAACAGCAAAACAAATAAGCAAACGAGACAAAACAAAAAAGAAAAAAAAAAAAAGGAAGAAGGGAAAAAAAGAAGGTCTATAGCAGGATTTGAACCCGGTACCTTCGGTATGACCCGACCTCACATAGCCACTACGCCATTGAGGATGTCACACGATAAAAATGCAAATTTAATGCGTTTTATATGGAACTTCCGCCGGCAAACGACCAGGGCAAACAATCGAGCCATAAAAACGACTCGAAGGAATGGGATGAAATTAAGGCTAATTGAAACCAGGCTACTGACAGTAAAAAACAATGTAAACGCATTTCATGGCAATGAAAGAACATATGCGATACAAAGCCGACACAACTCCTCCTCAAACTCACATCCATTTCCCCCCGTGATCTTGGGGAGTCCTTAAGAGGAAGAAGAAGAAGAAGAAGAAGAAGAAGAAGAAGTGCCTTTATTTACCATACATTTCACCAGTCCGTATTTTATACCCAGTCCGCAGTCCGTAGTTCGCATTCCGTGTTTTATACTGACCGCCATAAATTCATTCATACACATAACCTACTACAGTACTACAAGGTACGAGATCAAGCCAGCGTCGAAGTTGAAGGAGTCGAAGAGCAAATGCTCATATTCTTGTCAAGTTTAACGCCTGGACGGGTCAAAGGCTTTTGAATCGTACTAATTTGAAAGATTCCTGCCTGTCTTAATTTGGTAAGACCTCTATCCTAACCGTGCTGTAGCGCACGATGCACGTTCGCAGCGAGGAATTTGATGCCACCGAACTTCGGCGAGCGCGTGCTTCTTTGGAAACGATAGATCTTCGCGCTCTCGAGTTCGGACCCGATTAATTACGAAGTGCGTCTACTACGAGTGAGTGAGTGACTCATTTGCATATCTCAGTCCCTGCAATAACTCGTGGTACGCTCGCGCGTACCCACGAGTTAAAAATGAGTGTTGCACGTGTAAAGTTGTTGCTCTGCTAATACCGCTGACAAACCAAATGCGTTTAATTTTTGCCCTTCTTGTTACCTTTTCGCTTCACCGAAAACGTCTGCCATTACTCTTGTCATTGTAATTATTCTGATTTACGCTCTCCGAAATATAATAGGAATGATGAGAACAATAAAAAAAATAAGATTATACGCCATTCGTATATATTTGTATTCCAGAACAAGGTTAATCGAACGAATCCTAAACAGGTGCCCTAATCCTGAACATACGTACGTTACATTCAGGGTAACTAGAATCATCCAAAAATACCGCTTTTTTATAGCGAATGCTAACAACTCTCCTCATACATCATAGCAATCATGCCGCCAAACAAGCAGCTATTCGATTATTTACATAAGCTTACTTCTTCACGCGATCGTACGAAATGATCTGCCGGCACTCAGCAACTGAACTGACCCGTAGTTCTCTTAAACCCGTAGTACACGCTCTAGCTTATCATTTTCTTTAACTTCTTCTTACTTTTTTAACCATTCTTCAACAGCCAAGGGTTCATCGTCATATACCATGTAATTTTCCAGGCTTTCAAATTCTGAAGAACGAAGTGATCCCTTTCAAAGAAGAGCTCCCATCTCTTAAATAAGCCGCCCCGGGTGCTACTTAAACATTAAAGCTACTTTTTCAATGATGTGTATAACTGTTACAGTTCTTAGCATTAACGATTGCTTTTTTCCCTCAGTGACCAGACAGCATCTTACCAATAAAAGTGATCCTACATCAGGCGGTTTCATTAGCCAAAATGATCCTACAGGAGGCTCCCCTATCGCCAAAAATGATACTGCAAAGATTGCTTGGATAATGCTGGGAGTTTCCGTGGCTCTTTCTGCTTTGGTGGTGGGGATAATTGTCTGCAGTAAGAGAGCAAAGAGGAATGATAAACGGTATTTCATTCAAATGATAATATCACTCAAATTTAGAATATTATTTCTTTGTTGCTGAATTGTTCCATGATAAAGTGTCTGGGCATGTCTATCTGGTGTCGTACTCACTCCCAAGCCACAAGTGACCTTTCTTACAGGCCAAGGCAGTGTAACTTTTGACTAAATAGTATCAACTAGGAAGCCGTCCCTGATTTAAGCGTTACCACAAGCCCATGATTAATTACGAGAAATTTCATTGACATTTAATTTGCACTTTGATCCAGTGAGTCTGACATTGCTGAGTTTATGTTGCTGGAAGTCCCACACGAGCGGGTTACTATCATGGAGGAACTGGGACGAGGCGCTTTTGGAAGAGTTTATAAGAGCGTGATGAGGGGGTTACCTGAAAAGAATACATCCTCCAAACACAAGGATCACCGTTTGGATTCGCATGAGGGACGTATTGTTGCTACAAAAGTTCTACCAGGTGTGTGAGTTCAGAATATGGCAAAAAGATAACTTACTCTTTCAGCAAACGCTATTCACGGGAGTGATTCTTATTAATAACAGGCAAGAGAGCCTCTCTTGTAACAGGTTTGAATATTTAATCCAATAGATAGCAAACATTATATCGTGGAAAACAGCATCTCAATGCCCCAGTCGGTAACATTGTGATGTACCTCAGGGGCCCATTTTAGATCTAAATTTTGTTTTCTACTTATATTAATGACCTCCCTGAATGTTTGCAATTTACCACACGATTTGCAGTGAATAAATTACTGTAGACACAAAAACCTTCAGTGAGATCAGAACATTGATAAGGTGTGCTGCAAGGTTGGTCGTGTTATATGTGGTCTTAGACAGGCTCGAGTTTATGTCACATTATTTAAACGTACTAAAAAGTATATAGCGCTTAAATCGATGCCCGTGTTCAAGCAAAAACCGAGCGGGCACCTTTCAACAAAACCACACAGATATAAAAAATGCAAAACAGAGCAGGCTGCATGATCACTTCTCAGAGCTGTGACATGATAACAGATTATCTCTTTAAACCAATTCAAAATGTTAGTGCATTCCTTCGTAATGTGTAGATTGGTCGTTCTCTTATGTGATCTTTCGAAATACGTTATTCAGTCACTTGAGAACTTTATCTGATCGTATGTGGTTGCAAATATGACCACATTACTGCAGCTTTACTTAGAGCATGAGTAGCGGATTTTAAATCATTCATGTCCGAGCTGTAATCGTCATTTGTTTCAAACTTACATGTCTGTTAGGAGTTCACGATCATCAACCATGAACTTGTTAATTAGTGACACCCAGATCAAGGCTAAAACTTTTATCGGACGATCATGCTTTTTCGTTTTGTGCCCCTAAACTTTGGAATGATTCTCCAGAGCACATACAGTGTAAAATGGAGTTTGAATATTCGTTCTTCTAAGAGTAATCTTAAAGCTTTAAAAACCTCTAAGCGTTATTTTCATTTCGTAGTTTTGTTTAACAATTTTTTTTTGTCATTGTCACGAGGTACTGCTTTCTAGTCGTTTAAGTTTAAAACATTTATTTGACGACGATGACGGTGAGCCGAAAACCCTCGGTGAAACTCAACTACAAAAGCATATTGGAATGTCCCTGTCTATGCAGAGTCAATGAAAATGAGCCAATTGGATAGATGCGTTAGGATTACAAATGTACACTCAAGGAAAGTCATATTACTGGAGATAGAATACCCGTGGGACGAGAATAGGGAAGCAATTAAAGAACAGAAAACTTGACGTCTAGAATTAAAGAGACAAGTTTCCGGACTATAAGATCTTCCAGTATTACATCATGTTCCATGTCGTGCTTGGTGATCGCTAGATGAAGAGAACTAACGGTTTTTCTTTGAGACTTTGTTTTATCTACTCACTTAACTCAGGGAACCAATTTTTTAACGAATAGATTTTTTCTCAAGCAGAAATTAGGACCTGAGCAATTGACTGTGTTATATTTTCATAGGTTAAATATACTTTCATTTTAATTAGTTCTTTTTTTCTTTACATCTCGTTTTAGTTTTTTATTAGTAACTGATATCGTGTAGCATTTACGTACACTGTTACCTGGATTTTCTTTAAATGTCTTTTGTTTTTTTAGAAAATGCCACGGAAGAGGACAAACGGCAGTTAGTTCGGGAAATTGAGTTGATGAAGGAAGTCGGAACACACCGTAATATTGTGAGCATGCTCGGCTACTGGATCCAATCACATCCCATCATGTTAATCTTGGAATATGTTCCAAACGGAGATCTTCTTCAGTGGCTCAGAAACAAAAGGCAACAGGTATCATTACTTTATCAGCTGTATCAATAAAAATTTGCTGGCCTCCTTTTTGCCTTTTGTTTAAAAAATATCTTCTCTCCATTCGGAATAGGGCTGCGCACAGATATTATTCATAGAACTCAAACTCAGACAAACGAATTCCTCAATTTTGTTTGTCTTTTTGTCATTAAAATGTCAAGTTTGTCTGACTTTTGACGTGAAAGTAACAAAAATGGCAGATTTCAGACAAACATAGCAAATTAGTCACTCTGACGTCATTAGTATTCTGTGCTGCACTTTAATTTTCTAATGAACATCGTTCTGGGCGTGTATGTTCTTTTTCTTACATTGTGTGGTCTCTTAACGCAGAAGGAAAATCCTCTCCCTCATCACACGTCTAAAAACCATCGTCTTCAGTAAAAATAATAAGATGCTAAACAACTTGAAGTGAGAATTTGTACATGTTACCTATAATTTAAGTTCTCAAAGACAGAGGTGCAATAACTGAATGTAGATATCAATGCAACCGGATATTCGTATTTTTCCAAACGCGGTTTATACAGCCAGACTGTTTAGATGCTATTCATGTATTCGGAAAACAAAGATCGATAAATACACAAAAATTTGTATTCAACGCTGAATTAATTAAGCCAAGCTTGCCCTGGTACGATCAGTTAAGGTTTCCGGGAAACTGGCCACCTATCCCTCCCCTAAGCCACATTTTGCCCTGAGTGAGAAGGTAGTGTTAATGTTGTCTTAGGAGAGGGAAAGGTGGTCAGAAAAGAAAACAAAACGACATTTTGAACGTTTACCCCTGGGGGTACCCCCGCCCGATAGGATGAGGATCTCCATCCTTAAATATGGTACCGTTATTCTGTCAAGTAAAATTCATGTGCGGTAATGCCCAACACATGAGAAACAAATCATAGATCTGTTAAAACTGAACTTTACCCTAGAGCTGATTAGGAGCGCGATTCAAGGAAGTTTTTTTCTGTTTCCTTTAATTCTTAGGTTTTGTTTTTCCCTTAAACTGGGCCTCATTTTCCATGTTTGGGTCTTTAATATGATATTGGTTTTCGCTTGTCTAAACTATTCGAAATTTTTTAAAGTACCCCCCTCCCCCCAGGTGGGCATTAACCTTTTCTGGTCAGAATGAATCACGGGATTACTAATGGTGGAGCTACTCTATTGTTTGAACATGGTAACAGGACAAGAATAGTTTACTTCAACGAACGCTTTTCATTCTAGTAATTTACTTGTTTCTTTTCTCATTTTCCCATGTATTCACCAACAGTTGAGGTCCGCCATTTGATAAACCGTCCTTGATTCGAGCTGACAAAGGGCTTCCACTCAAAATGCTAGTCAGCTTTTCGATCCACGGTCTTTCAATGGTAGCAAGATGAGTTATTCAAATCAGCCGATAACACCAGAGTTTTGCTTTTCACCCCCCCGACCGAAGCAGTAGAAAAGTTTCTTTTTAAAAGACCCTTCAAAATGTTTTGGTGGACATAATGATTGTCCGTCCAGAGTTTCAAAACCGCCACCGTCTGCTGAGCGGGAGGCCGTAGGTTCAAACCCCGGCGGGAACAACACCCAGGGTCTTTAAAGAACTGAGGAGAAAGTGCTGCCTTTGTATAACAACTGCAAACGGTTTGACTTTCTGGTCTTCTCGGATAAGGACGATAAACCGTAGGCACCGTTTGACAAGCCCTTGCACATGTAATAAATCTGTGGGACGTTAAAGAACCCACACACCTGCTCTTTGTGAAGAGTAGGGCACGTAGTGGCCGGTGTAGTGGTTTATCTCACTTTCACACTCATGTATGGGGGCATCATTACTCATTCCTTCATTACTTGTAAAATGCACCTTAAGCGGTCTGGCAAAGTCCCCCAAACAGTGTTGTAGATTACACATTACACGTCCCGAAAGCCCTGTACGAGATATGACGTTTAATCCATTTGAATTTTCCGTGGACGCTTTAAAGAAAGCTGGCCCATAAGGTATTCCCGGCTAGATTTTCAGTTTAACGTCGGTTAAGTAAATAAATCTTTCAATTCACATGGATTCCTTTTAAATTGGGGAACATACTTCGGCTAACCAACTGATAGTGTTGAAATTGTTTCTGCTGACAAAACCGTTTCATGATCAGACGGAATTCATTTCAATATTTTTTTGCAGCTTACAATGAAAAAGAGTCAGCAAAGTGATGTCGTTGAAAGGCTTAAGCCTCCTGTTCCTGAGAGACCGAAATTGGTGTCCAGGAACCTGCAAACAAAAGATGTCCTGGATGAAAACGTGGAAGAGGAGAACAGGGGAAAAAAGAATGAAGAAAAGTGGAAAAAGACGGTGGTTATCATTGCAGCGAGACAAAGGAAATTAAAATCGACCTGGAAGACGGTGAAAGAGGAGTTCTAATCAACGATGCGCCTCAAACTGAAATGGAACCTTCTTGCTCAAACCTGGAAGACGAAGATGACAAGGAAGAAGACGAAAGTGACGATGTCAACACGCCATTTCTACAAAATGAAGGACAAAAGGGTCGGCTACGTCGGTGATGGTGTTACCTTCGATCAATATTGCCCATTTCTCCAAAGAAAAAGAGCTCACTCCTGCTGAGGCTTTAAGAAACGTCGAAGAAAAGATCACCATCGAGAAAGAAGGCAGCTGTGAGAGCAAGGAAGATGATGAAGAAGACATTTCTGGGAAAGAAGTCTTATGTTATGCGTGGCAGATTGCTAAAGGGATGGTAAGAACTTTTTCGACTGAAGAATGCTTTGAGCAATTTAGTCATCGTTTGCAAATCACAAGAATCTGCCTCTTCCCCTTATTAATACTTTAATACAAGTTTTCTGTGCCTGCAAGTATATACTATCTGGTCATGAGACGGCAGATTTTTCAAGCATTCAAATTTCTGCGTTAATTATAACAGACCATGATAGCGCTAACTACTATCTTGCTGAATTTTTCGTGAAACACAACACATATAAAATTGAGCCGTTTGATTTTAAAAAAGGTCAAAACCGAGTTTTTTAATTTTCTATCGCCCGAGAAGCCTAAAAATCACAAGGAGCCGTTGTGAAGGTACCTATTGAAAAATCAGGTCTGGTCGTACTTCGAAAAGGTATCTAAGGAATACAGCCATATGACCGGAATAAGGCTAATCTATCAGTTATTTCATTTGAATCGTACAAGCCTGACATACAGGGACATAGCCAGCTTTTCGACTAGTTGTAGGCCTGGTTGACTCTCATTTCCACATATCCTGAAAATTGCACGCATGACCCGTACGCACTGACCTCACCAACACTTTGAGCTCTTATGTTTTTTTAGCTCGCCCCAACAACGCATAATTTATTACAAGCGGTAGAGTGATCCAAACAACAATTTTAAGGCCCGGGCCTACAGGACTATGGGCTGGCTACGCCCCTGACATTCACGGCAGAACAGGAAATAGAAAGCAAAAAGGAGAGGAAAAGAAAAGAAGGAAGTAGAGGAAAGAAAAAGCAATGGTTAAATTTGTTCTCGGGGTTGGATGACTGAGCAGCAAGGACTAGATAAATCTTGACCCCCGTAATCGGGTTCGTGGAAAGCACAATAAACGGTCTGCAAGTGGAACTGATGGCTGAAAGGATTGCTTTTCGTAAACGGCAACTATGATGGTATTTGCTAACTACTGTAAGCTCAATTGATATACCTTGTGGCTTAGCTGTATATTTGGCTCTAAATGAATAATGTTCACTAGGTATGCTGTTTTGGGTGACTTCGAAATAGAAATCAGCGTTATAGTAAGAACCAATAGGTTTTTTTTTTCTTTTTCGGGCGTGGCAGTCTAAGGAGGACTTTATTCCACTCACACCAGGTCTCCCTGAAAACAGCATTTAATTAAGTGTCAACCGGTGTCAAAAGGCTTTCTTCCGCCGTTGAAATCTTAACTGAAAACCTTATTTTTCGGCCAATATTCATCCCTTCGAGTTATCGAGGGTAAAACTGAAGGGAAACTACTTCGAGTTAAAAATTACTTCGAGTTAGCCGCCGGGAGTTTCGAGTTATCGAGGGTTCGAGTTACCGAGGATAAATTACACTAAAGGAAATCCAGCGGAAATGGATTCTGGTTCGAGTTAGCACAAGGTTCGAGTTAGCGAGGTTCGAGTTATCTGGACTCGACTGTAGTTCACTTAGCTTGTTCAACTTTGACGGCTTTTGTGCTGAAAAGTATATGTCGCTGGGATATTGTAAACCAATTCCTTAATTTTTTCCTTCGTTTTCCAACAGCTGTGACAGAAATCCTCCCTCCATTCTTCAAGAATAGGCCGACGATCACTTCCTCCCGCTTTCCCGACCGTTTTCCAGGCACAGCTTGCAGTAGCCTGTTCCAGGTTCTGGATAGTAGGGGTGGCACCTGCAAAAATAAGGCAAAAAAGCGTAAGGCACCGGGCGAAAAAGTGTAAAGCACCGGCAAAAATATAAAAGCGTGATCTAGGAAAAAGGGGCGGTGACGGGCTATTTTTGAGCCTGGAACAGATGTTTCATTGCACTTGGTTGCTTTTCCGTCAAATCGTTAAATCGGGAGTTCGTTTACAACGATATCCCGATTAAACTGCTATCCACCTGCCATATCGCAAAATCGAGCTTCCATTTTAATTTCAGATTGGAATCTGGTAACTAAAAATTTTTTGAGAAATAATTTCGTTATTTCTCTGCCAGGAATACTTGGCCAGCAAAGGATTCATTCATCGTGACCTGGCAGCCCGTAATATCCTACTTGGTGAGGACAGAGCGGTGAAGATCGCTGATTTTGGTTTGTTACGCCACGCAAATGAGAGTGAGATATACGAAGTTACGAGCGTAAACAAGCTACCAATGAAATGGATGGCACCTGAAGCGTTGGAAAGCGGCATTTTTACTTTCAAGACTGACGTGTAAGTATATGTTAATGATCGGCATGAAGTCAGAGTAAGGCCAAGCTTAGGCTTCCTGTGATGCAGTGTGACGTTGAGGTTTTAGATAACATAGACGCTGCAATGTACTGTTCAGAACTGTCTGAAAAAAAAAGAGCACCATTTTGATCATCAGACTGTCTATAGTAGCGCTTATCACTCTATCTCTAAAGATATCTCTAAGTGTTTGGAAAACATTAGCCTGTTCCAGGCGTGAAACTTAAGATATATAAATAGAAACTTTGAGCCGATGAAGTTAATCTGGGGCCGTCTTGGATCCTAAATTCCACACTCCACATCCAGCATTCCAGATACTGGATTCCGGATTCCAGCTCAGTGTATTCCAGATTTCAAAAGGCCTAGATTCCAGAATTTCATAGTTAGCAGGATTCCGGATTCCTACAACTGGATTCCGGATTTTAAAGTCCATGATAGTCCGAGATAAACCAAATTTATATTTCTATGAACTTTAATTCTTGCAATTTCTTTATCTGCTTCCTTTTATTGCAGATGGTCATTTGGAGTTGTTTTGTGGGAACTAGCCACCATGGGTAAGCTAGTTTTATAAATCTTTGTATACTGATGCTGGTAGAATAATACTCTAGTCATTTTCCTATACCCAAGGGAATTGAGAGGAATCCCCAATGACAGTAGTCAGGGAAAAGGTGACTGTTCAGTTTTCGGATAGCAGTTACGGGAGAATCGAGCCGCTTTATAAAAGAAGCCATTCTCGCATAATGTCGTGATTGCTAAACAACTAGAAAAAATAATAGGCTAACTAGTAGTATACTATGTTGGAAGATAAGCCCCGTTAGTGCGTTCCCTTTGCGTTCCGTGTACGTTCCCTCGAGCAGGAATGCTGGATAGAGTGAAGGATGGCAGCTGTAGTGGTCAAGAGGCGTGCCTTGGATCGAGAACCATAAGGAAGGACTTGCCCGTGGGCAGATCAAACAGCCTGTTGAAAAGCGGAAACAAAAGGGCTTTACATCTCATTTTGTATTCGAAACAGAAATGATGCGATATAAAGCAAGGTGCGACGGTGCGACGTGGTTTAAAACATATGTGATTGTGTGATTCGTAAATAAATCACACTGCTGAGAGCCAATCAGATTGCAGGGATCACCAGCGATTTTAAAATCAAAAATTAGAAAAGCCTGATAATGTTTAATAAGACAGCATTAATCTTTATTTTTGTTATTTTAGGGGTACTCCATACCCTGGGATAAGCCCTATGAGGCTATGCAGTTTACTTAAAGCTGGATATCGGATGGAGAAACCCAACACGTGCAGCGATAAAATGTAAGTCAGAATAGAAATAATAAAAGACGCGCGAACAGAGGGTACGATAAAGAAATACTTTCATAGTCCTTCAAACAGTTTTTTTTTCTAAAATTGTCAGCCTTTTCTAAGGAGTGGAAACTGCAGCGCGCCTCTTTCCTTTACGTTGCTCTATTTTAAAAAGAGCCTATAGAACATAAGTGTCTTCAATATTCAAAGTAAACGAAGATATATCTTTATATAGTGGCATTTGAAACTATGGCTTCCTTTTACAACAGATACAAATTGATGATGGACTGCTGGAAGGAGGATCCAAATGAACGACCCTCATTCCTTCAACTAGTACCGATACTGGAGGAGATGATGACAGAAGATACCCCTTACTATTATTTCAGACTACTGGATCAGAACCAGCCATGTTACCGTGAGGCATCCGCCACTAACACCAGTAAAGCTAGTACTCTTGATACGAAGCTCTAATTTCTGTAGGGTCTCTATGGTCTATGGTTCAATTTTTGTCAAAGCAAGATTTTCTTTCTTTAGATTGTTATAGGGGTCTCGGGGGGGAAGGAGGAGGGGGGAGGGGGAACCTCCAATATGAAAGCATAGGGGAATGCTCGGCGGATAAGTAGATTAATAATTGCAGTTGCACCGTCTGCAATACCAAGAAACTATACTCATAAACTGAACACCGTTGTTTTCATCTTCACTGTTTGCCGGTATTCATAACCAGTCTCCCTCGGTTACGATCACAAAAAGCAGCCAAAGTAGAACACACTCTAACTCATTAAGACAACGTCTTTTTCTATATAGATATTTCTTTACGCACAACCCTAAAGCTACGTGCAAACGGACGCAACAACTTCCAACAATGTTGCGAGTTGTTGGCCAACAAAGTTACGTCCGTTTGCGGGGGTTAAGCGATAGATTTATGGTTAAAAATAGTGGCTTTTTGTCTTGCACAGCCAAAGTGAGACCAAAAAATGCGATGTCTACGTCTAAGAGAGACGAGCAACCCCGTCATTTTCATATGGGAGTTCCCTTGCCAAGCAAGGAACAGGACTAAGATGACGAGCACAACTGTTTAATGGGTTATTACAATAAGATACCTAATAATATTTAATTTCATTTCAGAGACATCGAGAAAATACTTAATAGCACTGGTAATATATCAATTGTAGGAACTAAAATCGGTTCATTCCCTGCAAATGACTATTAAGTTGTTAGTAGTTCGGATTGCTTCTTTTACTTTTTTCAGTAGTCTGTCCACACTATACTGGAAATAGATTTTCGTGTCGACATGAAAATGTATCCGGTAGTATGAATGACAACCGTATAGAATTGGAACAAGTCGTCCACACACATCGAACATCGCACCAGAGCGGTCGGCAGGCCGAGAGGCCAGTTTGGTGTACTAAATTACAGTGCTCTCTCCTAAAAATATACTTTCATATCAGGTGGGTCCCAGCCTATGCTCCCTCCAACTCATTTCACCTGAAAACATGTTCACACTGCGACGAAAAGTGGCAGAAACCCATCCGATATGTGATGATCCACTTTTCAAGATCGGCGGCTGCGTAGTTTCGCTCCTTAACAGAAATAGCCGGAAAATCACCGTTCTCCTAAATGAACTGACAAAAGCAAAATCCTGTATCATTTTCGTGCCGCTTTCCGGTATAGTGTGACTGATCATAGCCTTCAGAGTTCCTCAGACGCCAGATATTAACCTACCACATAATTCCGTGGCTACAATTCATTGTTACAAACGTTTCAATCGGCTAGGTTAGACTACAACATTGCCACTCGCTATAAACATGTCATGTCATGTTGGAGAAACGACCTATTGACTCAAAAAGGTGACATCAGGAGTAAGGTGATAAAAGGCACTTCGGTTCACCATAACAATATTGCGGTAGTATAAGAAAAAAAGCTTACTTATTGTAGAGACCTTTGCTGGTGTTGAATAATAATTATAGTGATTATAGTTTAGATTTTGGTGTTCTTTCAAATAGTGTCATTAGCAGATCACTTGGGAAACCCACGTCTGGGTATGAAAAGTGAAGATTCGGATTATCAGGGCAGTTCGGAAAAAGATAACATTCCATTTCCGACCAATGCTGCCAATACAATAAGCAATACAGGAACCTTTGTAAAATTTCTGCAGCTAAGGTCTGGTTTGGAAGTCAGTATATATAACACACTATTCTCTAAAGGCACACAATCAGGGTCAGAGACGGGAAAGAAGTTATCCACCTCGGCGTTCATCCGATACCCCTCCTCGATCTGCATAATTTATATAATTCTTTTATTTAATGGCTCATACGCCAGGAACGAGGTCAGCACCAGCAAGAACGTTTCAATGGTTAATTTATACAACTATGCATTTATTCATTTAATACATATTGCGTATTTACATAATAATATTGCTTCATTTTATAATGATAATAATAAATTCTTGAATGGCAGGAGTAAGATAAAATATTGTAGTGGCTTCGGTATGAATGGGGTCACTTTGATATATCGTGCTATTATTCAAACTCATAGCCAGGCCAAGAAAACCAGAAGAAACGAAAGTCATCACTCTTCTTCCTCGTGTTCTCAGGACATGACGTCAATGGATATATCGACAGTGGCCTATTTCATAAACTAATGTCCAGCTTTTGTCAGTTTCTACATATTTGATGTCATTCTTTAAAATAAATTAAAGGCTTTTAAACTTTATCTGAGTTTGTGGTCATTTCTGAGTGATACGCCGAGAATCTCAAGAAAAGCAATCTCCCTGTTCCCCACAGGACAGGCTATTCAGCCTAATGATTCAAATTAGAGGAAAAGGGAGACCATTATGTGGTATCTTTGTGTGCTAAAAGGTTAATCCAAATTACACATGTGCTTGATCACATGTCTGACATGTCGCACAAGGCAAAACAGGTAGTGCAAGATCTTTTTTCTCATACCAGCTAACTGATAAATAACCAATTGTCTAGTCTGTGTATACAGCAACCCCTTAGGATTTTTCCTCAGGAGGGCTATTTTGATTGGACCGGCACAAATTAAATATCATAATTGGACTGGAGAGCGAACTAGTGAGACAATTTCAGCGTGAGTCAAAAACGAGGGTTGTAAAAGAGCCGGCTACTTGGGCTCTCTAAGAAAGGGCATAACAGATTTCGGAAAATATATTAGAGGTTGGTGCGACAATAAAAATGCTTGTGGAAGTTGTGAAACGTCGCACGCTTGACAAAATTCTTGAAAGAAGACAACCTCTCTGACCATGACTCCTAAACCAAGCAAAACGACCCGTTCTACTTAATCTTCCTTTTTATATCTGCCTTAGGATAACAATATTCTTATTCTTAGTAATATTCTATTTCACCATAACCGTAAGTGGAACAACTTGACCACCATATTTTTGGCAAGACCGCAGCAGTCTTTATAGGGCAAATTACGTTTTTTAAGTAAACGACAGAACTATGCGCCTTAAGGTGGCTCGACTGGATTTTTGGGGCTTTGAGCATTAACTACGTCTGCATGAGTAAAGATATGGCAAAAAGGTTACCACAACTGTATTAGATAAAGATGAAAATTTCTTATGATCTGGGTTTTATTGCAATCGGAGTCGCCATGGCAACGTAATGACGCCATTACGTTTTTCATTTATCTTTGTGTTTCTCTGTTCCAGGAGTTTTTTGAAGAAATCGCTTAAGGGAGTATGTACCTGCTATAATTGCCTCCATTATGGCAAAGTTTGAACAAATTCTATGAGAGCGTTTTCGAAATATTTCGAAATGTAGTTTTAAGAATAATCAAAACAGTGAAATAGCATGCTACCTACACAATTCGCTAATATTTTAAGAAAATGGTAAGCTTTGGGAACGAGGCTTCATCTCATAGTTACTTGATTCCATTGAAAACTGCATACAAAAAACGAGGGGAATTACTCTGGGCGATCGCGAGTAAGAAGAATTTTATTAACTTGCATTCAGCTGCTTTTGATAGAGTTTTTGGACGTAATTTGGTCCATGCCTAAAAATTTCGCATTTTTTCAAAAACCGCTCGATAAATTTTTTTATAAATTCGACAATCCCGAGATCAATTGTCAAGAAATATTCCCTGCAAGTTTCAAGAACATTGAAAATAGGGAAGGCTTTTAAATAGGGCCTCAAATATAACCAATTTTTCCCCCAGATTTTGTGTTGACAACTGAGCGTCCTCATTATTCACTGGCATTGTTTTCAAGTTTCATATGCACGTGCACAACTAGCAAAAGATATAAATTTGCATCAAAAAGGACCCTCGGTTAAATCTCCGGGATATGCTAATTACCGGGTAAAGAGATTAATGATACATTATAACATCAGAGCAACTCTTTGTGAGAGTTTCTGTGATGTTATAATCCGAGTAAGATAATTAAGTATTCCATCCTACACGATGAGCCGTGACTTTCACCGTTTCGGCTCTCACTGCTATCCGTGACGACAAGCCAATTGTTAACATATTCAGGATATTTCTTCGGAAAGTAATCGAGAGTTCTTTTTGATGCAAATTTATATCTTTTGCTAGTTGTGCACGTGCATATGAAACTTGAAAACAATGCCAGTGAATAATGAGGACGCTCAGTTGTCAACACAAAATCTGGGGAAAAAATTGGTTATATTTGAGGCCCTATTTAAAAGCCTTCCCTATTTTCAATGTTCTTGAAACTTGCAGGGAATATTTCTTGACAATTGATCGCGGGATTGTCGAATTTATAACAAAATTTATTGAGCGGTTTTTGAAAAAATGCGAAATTTTTAGGCATGGACCAAATTACGTCCAAAAACTCTATCAAAAGCAGCTGAATGCAAGTTAATAAAATTCTTCTTACTCGCGATCGCCCAGAGTAATTCCCCTCGTTTTTTGTATGCAGTTTTCAATGGAATCAAATCACTATGAGATGAAGCCTCGTTCCCAAAGCTTACCATTTTCTTAAAATATTAGCGAATTGTGTAGGTAGCATGCTATTTCACTGTTTTGATTATTCTTAAAACTACATTTCGAAATATTTCGAAAACGCTCTCATAGAATTTGTTCAAACTTTGCCATAATGGAGGCAATTATAGCAGGTACATACTCCCTTAAGCGATTTCTTCAAAAAACTCCTGGAACAGAGAAACACAAAGATAAATGAAAAACGTAATGGCGTCATTACGTTGCCATGGCGACTCCGATTGCAATAAAACCCAGATCATAAGAAATTTTCATCTTTATATAATACAGTTGTGGTAACCTTTTTTCCATATCTTTACTCATCCCGACGTAGTTAATGCTCAAAGGTGGGAGGTATCAACCCCAAAAAATCCAGTCGAGCCACCTTAAAATACAAGCATTTACAGTAGATCTGTAAAAGCAACCGAGGATTTGCCAAGAAGAATAAAGCTGCGACTGGATTTGGGAGTTCTCGTCAAGTATTTCCACAAGATTTAACAAAGATATTTTTGTAC